TAAAACAAATGTCACTAATTCAGTCAGACTTCACATTTCTTTCTGTTTTTTTTTTTCCTTCCTCTTCTTCTTTGGTTTAATTCTTTTCTTTTCTCCCTCTTTTTGTGTGCACTCTGGGGAGCACGAGCCCCGAGTTGCAGAGGTCCTCGCGCCTCTTGCACCTGCCTGCGAGCTCACGGCGCCGCGCACGAGCCCAGGTCGCGTGCAGGAGATTTTAGAGGCTTTGCATGTTTTACAGAAGTTGTTGTTCCGATGTGGGGTTAAAAAGAAAAAAGAAAAGAAAAAAAGAACAGGGAGGGCAGCTTATTTTTCTTCTTTAACACGTTTAAGGCAACGAGGAGGAGGAGGGGGGGAAGGAGGAGCAGGAGGCTAAATCTCGGTGAGTTAATTAGAACTGAGGCTGTCACTTTGGGCCAAATTTAAAATTAAGAAAGTAAAAAAAAAAAAATAGACATAAGAGCATCAAATATTATAAGCAAGCTTGGGTGCTCGTTTTCAGGAATTGATTATTATCCTGCAAAAAGGCGGATTTGGCTCTCCATTTTTTTCCTCTTTTGGCTTTGTTTAGAATGATTTTGCATCTGGAGACCTTAAGCAGTGCATAGATGGCTCCTTAGCAAATTATTTGGCTTCTTTATCACACCAACAGTCTGTTTAAATGAAATCAAACCTTTAGTTTGCATTAAACAATTAACACAACTGCAGTTGAGTGTAACCCCGTGTGACGTTGATCTTAAAAAAAGATCAAAAATAATGCAGGAAAACATGTCCAAGTTGAACTCTGCTGCTTACCTCTTGGGAGCAGGTATTGCTGCCAGTTTCAGTGTTTAACCGGGACCCGGAAGACAGGCTGCTGGCTGACGTGCCATTACGTTGCTGTGTGCCCGCAGCCTCTCATACAGAAGTTTTTTTTTTTTTTTTTTTTTTGCTCATATTCAGAGAGGTTTGGATAGAGCCAGAGCGGAGGCAGCCTCAGAGCGCAGACACGCACCGCAGTCTGCCGGCTGACGACGCACAGAGAGCGAACAGGCCACCGCTTGTTCCGCACCGTCTCCACAGCATCTTAAAAACAGGGACACCTTTTACGCATCGCTCGCTTATTTTGTGCCGTTATTTTTGTTGTTGTTGTTGTTGTGGCGATAATAGCCGAAGCTCAGGTGGAGTCACTTTCTTTGGTTTGACTCCAAAGCGCAAAAGGGGGGTAAGTGATTTTTATTTTTCTTAAATGCTGTTTTACTCGCTTTTATTCGAACATTTTTAAATATTATCTGGGAATTGTTTTAATTCTTTAAATAACACGCAAGGCAATCCGCAGCTAAGAAGGCAGCAATAACAGCTGTATGTTCCTCCTGGAGCGTTCCCATCCACGTTGTTATGGCAAAAACAAAAAAACCAAAGTCTATTTTGTGCAGCGCTGTTTGAGCATCAGTGTTTCTGACTGTAAAGAATTAAGTTGCAGGCTTTTAATGGTATCTTCACGATCAGCCTGATTGTCTCGGATATTCGGATATTAACTGTAAACCTCCTTGTGATCTGAAAAATAATCGTGCACATCAGTCTTACAATGCAGCAATAAGATGTAGTATTTTTTGTTGTGTTTACTGGCAGCACGATCTGTTTTTTGTTTTCTTTTATTAGAGCACTAACCACATTGTGTTTTCTACATGATGGAACAATAACAACGAGTCCAAATGAAGACATAATTCACCTGTTCACAATAATAACGCGTCTTGCACGCGTGTGCCTGTTTCTAAAATAAATATGAATGTTTAAAAAAAATTGGAAGAATTTCAGGCGGCCATGTAATCAATAATCGGTTTTATGAGCTCGCTTCACGTTGCCGTGGGCAAGGTGCTCCAGTCCTGGAATATAAACCCCTCGATCGCGGAATGGTTTAGTGTATCATCAGCGTTGTATTAGTGACGACAAAAGTATTCAATTGTCACGCTTTAAAATGCATAATGACTCGAGCAATCCTCTTTCATCAGCAGCAGAAAGAGCAATCACATCACTACAATGGTAGAGCAGAGACAGGGGCGGGCTGGGGTCTCCACAGGCACGCAGAAGCTGGAGTGAATACATGGCACCTTTTTTTTTTTTTAACACCAGCCCCCTGTCTCTTACCTGTGCTGCTTTATGTGCATGATTCAAATAACACCAAGCTCTGTGTGTGTGGGCAGCACACAGACAAGACTTTAAAATCAAGGCAGTGAGAAGTCAAATAAATGTACTTTGAATGAATGAATGACTGAATGAATGAACAGATTTTAACACTGACAGTCTCCATACATAAACACTGACAACTGTGCCATACATTTCCAAAAAAAAAAAAAAAAAAATGTTCTGTGGCTCCAGTGAGAGCTTTTGGCTATAAATCTAAGGATCATCTTCTGGTCCATAATCCCTTTTGTTAAGTGTGCAGTCTGTGTGTTATGCCCTTCCCCTTGTCTGAAATGTTATTATTTTGAGCTCAAGCAACTTAAATGGGAGTGAGTGCTGCCCTCGGAGCAGCGTCCAGGCCCCTCTCTCACCAGTTATATGGTCTTGTGTCTGGGTGCTTGTGTCTATAAAGCCCCCCAGTGCCCTGGCTCGATCTAATTAGCCGTGAGTAAAGGGGACAATAATGCTTCAGCTGGTTTGTGTCATTCTCTTCTCTCTGGCTCTGCTTATCTTCACAAGGCCCACTGTGGCCACTGTGGCTCTTCACACTCCTCCTCCCCCAAACACACACAGAGTCACACACCTCCACTCTGGATAATGATGGATGACCGTGCCCAATGGGAACAAACAGGTAGATAAAGCCAATCCCATTTAATAACAGCATGGATCGGAATGATAATCTTGTTGTTCATTAGCCACTGTGGCTGCACAGCGATACAGTTGTTGCACACAGTTCTCACCCAGCTCAGGAGGTGTTGCGAAGAGGGATAGTGTTCTCCAGTCTAGGATAGCATCCCTGGGTGAAACAATACTGCTGTGTCCTTGAGAGAGACCGAGGGAAATCAGCAGCACCCCCCCCTTCCCACCTCACCCTATCCCATCCTCTCCACCAAGCCTCCGTCACCCTCTCCCATCTTTTGTTCCAGCACAGATACAAATGGGATTAATGAAGGTATAAATTACAGAGGGCTAAATCCTGCTGAGTAATCCATTTGGCAAACATGCAAACAACAATGGGGCATGCTGCAGCAGCTACCGTGAGCCCGACCCACTCTCCAAGGCTGTGTGCTTGATGCAGCCAGAATGCACCACAGACTGGCCACTATATACACAGCGACACGCTACAGTGTCCTTTCACTACAAGCCACCAGATAAGGAGCATCACCGGTCAGCCATTCCAGCTCAAACAGAAGGAGTCCTTGTTGCTCCAGGTTCAAACATGTGACAGCAATTCTTCTGCAGCACTAAATTGCGCGCAATTGGTGTATTATTGATGACAGATCCACTGTGAATTAAATTTGTTTGAGGACAATAAACAATAGCACTAGCATGCTGTCACTCCACCTGCAGGCTGTGGTGCTTCTTTTCGCTGGAATGTCACTTATTGGAGCTGCTGGCCCTCTGCTGCTTCACATGCACTAATTTGTTGATTTTAGGAGTTGACAAGCTCAAAGGGCTGAGCTCATCAACTCACTGCCGCTGGCAACCAGCCAGTGATTTAATGACTGATGACTGACACACACGCACGCACACACACACATTTACATGGCAGGTATAACATCAGATTTAGTGTGTTTGTTACCGCGACGAACTGCGTCCGTTTCGAGGCAGCTATGGAGGATCTTTCACCTGGAGAATTTGCCCAGGTATCACAAAGCTGCACGTGACACCCCCTGCAAACTACACCCCCCACCCTCCAGTGGTTCTGTGACGTCAGGTCCCGGCGTCGGCGTGGCGGCCAGTCTGGGCTCCGGCACCCTCCAGTTATACTCTCTGTCAATCACACACACACACACACACACACACACACACACACACACACACACACGCACGCACACACAGCAGCGATACGCGCAAACGGCTGCATGAATTTGCGCACATATATGTACAGATCATTTTACGCGCACACACTGCGGGTAATTCCTCAGTTAAAATCCAATACAACTGAACAGAAATGCGGCCTCGATATTATTTACTATACATATAATTTTCTAGTTCAGGTTTTTGCTTTGTATCATGAGTTCTAATCGAGGGCGTTAGGAGACACTTGGACAGTCACTTCATAGGTGGGGCCCTGCGCCAAACGCCGGTCTGACCAAGTGAGAACCAGGCGCCATTAGTATGCAAACTGTGTTTGATTGCTCTGTCCCCGAGACAAAAACCACTGTTTTCACAAGAGGAATGCCCTTCTACTAATTAAAGACAATTAGGCGCTCCCAACAATGGGGCCAATTTCGGGGTCATAAATCGACTCCTCCTCTGTTGGTTTTAGAGTTGCTGAAAGCGCTGTTTATTTACATAACAGCAGCATGCTAAAAACAACACTTACAATTATTGCTGGTAACGTAAAACTCATTCAGCAGCTTTGATTATATTTAAAAAACATTTTACAAGTGTGTGCAAATTTACAACATCACTCCAAAGTTTTAAAAAAAATCTAACCTCTAAGACTATTTTTCAAATGGGTTCAAACAAGCAAATGCGACTCACGACATGATTAGATTTTAAATTATTATAATAATAAGCCAGATAGTGTGCAAACTGAATTCACCTCCATGTTCGCTGTCTGTCTTTAGGCTTATAATTGCCGCTAAAAAAGCAGATTATCACGGGCCGATTGCTCATTCCGTTTGAGCTTCATGAGAGAGAAAGACCCCCCGAGAAATTACACTGCTGATTGATAAGTCTTTTAGTTTTTCGGTGCAGGGAAATGGAAATTGAAAGAAGCAGAGCAGGGATGCAGCGAGCCAATTGTGGCAGGGCCCGCTATGATTGGCCCGGACCGACGCCCCGCCCCACGTGGCTTGATATGGGAATTTACTGGCGCCAGCCGCATCAGTCTGCGCCACATCTCATTAATGAGCCTGAGCACTGCACGGATCAAGAGGTTTACACATCCAAGCTGCATTTGCCGTCAGCTGATCAAAATTGCAACAGGTATCCACGGAGAACTTTTGCATTGTTTGGAAACGGAGGCAGCTGTGCGCTCCCACTTTGTTTTCGACCAGTAGGCTGATCACAAGGAGCTTCAGTTGCGCAAAGTTTATTTCACGTGTCATCTGCTAGGATTAGATAATGTATATATACATATAAAGGATGCTTCTTCTTTGCATGGCGGGAGAGGAGGAGCGCTGCTGATGAACTAACATTTTTTGTTTTCGTCTCTTTGCAGGTTTCACCGAGGAGGAAAGAAGGAGACCGGGTGATTTAAGGATTCTATTTCTGAAGTAAATAAACACAGTCGAGACTGTCACATCTCAGGAACTATACTGTAAACAGGACTGAACTTTGACTTGGAGAGAGAGACGTGTTCAGAGGAGAGGAGACGGTCGGCTCAGTAGCCATGGAGGTCGCAGCGGCAGATCAGTCTCGGTGGATGGCGCACCATCATGCTGTGCTGAACGGCCAGCACCCGGACTCTCACCACCACAGTCTGAGCCACAACTACATGGAGCCAATGGCGCCTTTACTGCCCCAGGACGAAGTTGACATGTTTCTGAACCACTTGGACTCTCAAGGGAACCCTTACTACACCAACTCCCGGGCAAGGGTCACCTACAGCCAAGCACACGGTAAGATGATTAAAAATGACACTTCATTGTGAGAAGTGTGATGAGAAATGATGAGAATGTGTGGAAAAAATAAACCTTTATTAATGCTGATATTTTTTTTTTAAAATTATTACTGTCACCATTATTATTATTATTACTTAACCGTGATCTGACACAGTTGGAATTACGCATGTGTGGCTCGTCGGTGTGTCTATTAAATTTGCGTAAAACAAGTATTCACCTGCGTAATATTTCAAGCTGTCTACGGTATTATTTTTATAAGTCCTCCTTCACTTTTCTGGGCCCATTCAGTAACATAAAAGGAATTTCTAGCAAATGACAGCGAGAGGAAAGGGAAGTATGTCACTTAACCCCTCTCTGTTGGGGCAGGGGTTTCTGCAGGGAGAGAGAGCCACTTCCCGGATATAAAATAAAAACCGCAAATTTACCAATAACAATCTTTAGTCCGAGAGCTGCTGCGGATGAAAAGATACTGCCCAGACGAGGAGCTGCTTTTATGTGTTAGTCCCCAGTCAGCAGGCCTTTCTAATCTCTCGACTGTAGTAGGCGAGATGTGTGAGGCTGTTGTTATTTATTAGGAACTATTTTTTTTGGATAATTGTTGTAAAGACCGGTTATTTTTTTTGTATCTACATTTTGGACAAGATGTCGAATTTGAGTAATTCCGAGCATTTAACAGGTAAAATCTTTGATTAGTGTGCTTTGATAATTAATGAAACGAAGAATTAAAGTAGAATATGTACTAAATAGATGGTTGCGGATTTCAGCTCGCCTCACTGGGAACCAGGTTTGCCGACCACACCTCATCCACAGCCCGGGTATTCCCTGGCTAGACCCCGGGAAAGCAGCCCTGTCGGCGGCGCACCACCACAACGCATGGGCGGTCAGCCACTTCAGCAAACCCGGCCTTCACCCCGCCGGCTCGGGCTACCCCTGCAGCAGCAGCACCGGCACAGCTCCCGTGTCCTCGCTCACTCCCGCGTCCCACTCCAGCCCGCACCTCTACAGCTTCCCCCCTACCCCTCCGAAAGACGTGTCCCCGGACCCCGGCCCTACCTCTCCGACCTCCACCTCGACCAGGATGGACGAGAAGGAGTCGATCAAATACCAGGTGCCGCTGACGGACGGCATGAAAATGGAGAGCTGCAGTCCTCTGCGCAGCGGCCTGGCCTCAATGAACGGCCAGGCCCCGGCCACGCATCACCCCATCCCGACCTACCCGGCCTACTCTCTGCCGACACCCCACGAGTACAGCGGCAGCCTCTTCCACCCCGGCAGCCTGCTCGGCGGATCGTCCTCCAGCTTTACGCCCAAATGCAAAAGCAAAGCGAGGTCGAGCTCAGGTGAGTCTCACGTGTGTTTGTGCCTCTCATCAGATGGCAGATCAAATTGATAAGGCCTAATTAAAAGGTTATGGTTTATTCAGCTGCGCGGTGGGGCGTTACGCACTATAGTTTCCCCGATCAATCATCAGCAGATAAATGTTTTATTTGCCACCATACAGGCCTGATAATACTGTCACCACTATTATTCATTCGTTAATAAAACTGTGTAGGATTTGTCTTAAGGCCATGTTGGTTTTAAATAGTATTTATTTTTGTAGGGAGAAAAAAAACCCCAGTCTTGATGCCATATTTGTGAGCAGGACTTGTTGCTTTAGTGGCTCCCTGACAAAATAAAACCAGATATTTGCTGTATCGGTGTCCTCTCCAGACCTGTCCTGACAAGTCCTATCTCTGTGCCATCGCCACTTGTAAACTCCATCCGCTTAAACGGGCTCACTTCAGAGAGGAATCCACCTGAGATGAAATTCATCTAATCGGAGGGATTTGACGCAAAAGAAAGTGGAATTAGACCTAATTACACTAATTGATTATCTATAGATATCACAGTTTTATTTTAGGTATTTATTTTGTTTCACTAAAAACAAGCGGAATTGTCACATTATATTTTTACGCAAAGATAAAACAACGTGGCATTCATTTTTATATGAACTTATTGTGACTTGTTAGGCTTCCACAGTCAAATGGCTTCTTCTTCGTGCCATGGGTTTGTTTTCTTTTAAACGTGGCCTTTATTGCACTTAAAAAATAAAGGAGTCACGACGCCCTGGCTCCTGCCATATCCTGTATACCTCCAAGTGAACAAATCACGACCTCCACCCCGCCCACCGCTCTCCCCAGCACTAACAAAGCAAGGCGACAGAGTCCTGCTGTTTGTGTTTTTAAGCATGGCCTTGGCCCACTGCACTGACATCAAGTCCAGTCCACAGCAGATCTGCTTCTCCTCTGTGAAGATGAGAGAGCATTTTGGAGACCAATGCCTTAAAGTAAACCTTAATTTATATATATAAAAAAAAAATAAAATCCATATATTTAGTCTCCCTTTTACTCAAAACTCTCAAAATCTGTAAAATTATTAAATAATAAAAACATGTATTTTTTGATAGTCTGGACAAGCACCTGATTCAATATGCGCTGGGAGTAATATTTAGGGGAATATTTAGTCTTTGTGTCTGACACTAATGGGCAGACATTTGAAAAAACAACTCAGTCTGGTAATGAGTCTGTAATTTCCCTACATTGTTCCAGCTGTGGTGCTTTGAATTAATGGAGAAAAAAAAAACAAAACCAAAAAAAACAACCCAGCAGACTTTGTAGGCTGTTAACAAGTTGTTCCAAATGTGTTTCAAATTATCAATATTGTCATCCATTGTCCCCTTGCTTTTTTCATCCACCTGGGGAATGCTCACTGCCTGATAATCGGAGTGAATATGAGCTGCTGTGCTGTTGGAGAAATGTTACACTGTGACATTTAAAAGAAGCTGGCCAGACTGTGTCTGAATCAGCAACACAAACATATCTGCTACGGCATTAAAAAGCCTCTTATCTATCGAATTCGATGTCCTGTGCCAGTAATGGTGATTGATTGTTGTACAAAATGCCACAATGACATTTCAGCTGTCAGCACATATACCTTACATTGCTGAGGCTTCCTGTTGAACTAGCCTCAAACCAGAACTACTCGCCCAATCTAGCTCGTACACCGTCTTGTCGCTTTTTTTCCCCTGTAATTTCACCACTAAACATTGCATAACATGTAAGTCATGGCTGATGAATATTTAAAACATTAATGAGGCCGCTTCATTGTGGTCGCTGGACTTGCGAAACACTTAAGAGGAAGAGAAGGGAGGTAGAAAAAAAAAGCACCGAAGTGCATTTCAAAAGGAACATAGCGTTTTGCTCAGGTCAGATTCCATTGTAGAGCGAGGGTGGGACTTTGGGTGTCGCTGGTATTATAACAGGAATAATGAGGTGATGCTCAGGGGAGAGAGGGATACTTGAATTAAATGAATTGTCGGTTGAGCAACAGGCTGTTTGAAGTCAGCTGAACCTGCGTGGGACAGGAAAGCATGTGGGAATAAATTTAAAAAAGCAGGTTTTTTTTACCAAGACACGAATAAGCCAGCCCCTGATTCAGTCACTACTAAAGAATAACACAAACTTTATCAAAATAATGCTGGACTGAATGCAATTTTAATATTATAATTTGCGGCCAACTGGCATGCTCGCTTTTCATCAAAGACTGCAACACTGTCCGGCACATTTAATACCACCTACACACACTTATGTTTCCTCTCATGGGTGCCCACTGAGCTGATGAATAATGTAGTCCTAATTTGATGGTGTGTCTCATTCTTCTTGTTGGACACCTCTGGACATGTTCTGGCTGTCTCTGGCCTCCCTACTCTGGATCGGTTTACATAGAGGTGTCTGTGTCCATGACAGCCATGCACACTCGGTACACCTGCACGCTGATATGGACATTGTCGCTATCATGAGGCAGATTTTGACTTCATATTACAGGGGCCATCTGGGATCATTCAGCGCTGTATCGTTGCCTGATTGGCCCGGACAGCTGCTATGTGTTGCTTCTGCCCGAGGGTGAATTTTTTAATTATATAAAATTTCTTCTTCTCCTCCTCTTGAACTATATGCAGAGGGCCGTGAATGTGTGAACTGCGGTGCAACATCCACTCCTCTGTGGCGACGGGATGGTACCGGCCACTACCTGTGCAACGCCTGTGGACTGTACCACAAGATGAACGGCCAGAACCGACCACTTATCAAGCCCAAACGGAGACTGGTGAGTTTTACTTTTTTCACTCCATCGCTTCACCCTGAGAGAAGGCACCCAAATATGAGCACAAAGCAGATGCCGGCAGCACAATTCCAGGAAAGTTATATTTTCCCTATGATCTTCCTGGAATTGTTTGTCCCTCTCACCCCCCGATGATCCGCCTTCATGGCCTGTTACAATACTGCTACTATTGCCATTGTTCCTGCTATCATTATTGCTGGTACTTCTGATACTGTTACTGATACCAATGCCCATGCTGCTTTAGTTAACACCATGCTCGAGTAAATGAAAAGCAGAAAGGACACATAACATTCTTGTGGTGGATGTACCATGTTCCAGTTACCGTGCTCAGTCATTTCTGACGTTAACCCTACTGAAGCTCAATGTATTTCTGCTATTACTCATTTATTCTGTAGCTTTTAAAACAATTTAAAATATATCCACATTGAAATATATATATTTTTAAATCTATCTATCTATCTATCTATCTATCTATCTATCTATCTATCTATCTATCTATCTATCTATCTATCTATCTATCTATCTATCTAACTTCTTTCATAGAGAAAACTAATTATTTTGACTTCTATATTAGTGAGAATATTATTAAGGGTTCATGTTTTATAATTAGTTTATATATAATTTATATTTTCATATACCTTTTTTTGCATTTATATAGCTTTATCCCTCTTTTTACTGAAACTGCTGCTTTATCACCATTACTGCTGCCTATAATAATATAATAAAAGGGAAATTATTCTGAATTAATTATAAGCGTTAACACCAAAAATAGATAGCTAATACAAAGTTTAGAGCTGTATAACCTTTTAACTTTAATAAAAAGGGGTCTAGGCTTTTTAATTTACCCAGGCTAATTATAATTGCGGAGGCTGCAGTCTGGGTCTAATGGTCTTCATTAACATTAGCTGCTAATTTGACTTGCCAATAAATTGGCCGCTATCAGATGATCGGTACAGATATTTCGGATGGGCTTCTTGAAACTCTACAGCTCATTTTAATTTTTTTTTTTTCCCTCATGTTGTTCCTTGACCAACTCCGCGTCATTCCTCCTTGTGAAAAGTCCATTACATTTTCCACTGGGTCGGCCCATATGGCTGCAGCTTTTGCATTTTCAGCTCAAGTGTTTTTCAGAGTTGTGTTCAAAGGGGCATCCAGTTGTTTCCTATCCGGATATCTGGCCGGCCCAGATAAGGAAGTCAGGCTCCCGGCTGTTTCCGCCTTCAACCAGCGCGCTGCATTCTCTCTATGGCCAGACTGACATATACTGTAAAGAGATTATCACAACACTGGAGGAGCCGCTTATGTGTGAAGAGACAGACCGTGAGGGGCGGGGATTGGAAAATAAATGGATTTATGTTCTTCTCTTGTTTGTCATTCTCGGTGGGCAGCGGTACAGCCTTAATGCGCAGCTGCTTTGTATTTAAAAATATAGGTTACATATTTCACTTCGCATAATAATGACCAGGGTTGTTGTTGTTCTCCAGGTCAATAGAAACGAGGCCACCTGAAATTAATTAAAAGAAAAACCTAGATGCTGCTTGCAAAGCAAAGAACCGGAGGGGTTCTTGGATGTAAAGCTAATGTTTCTTATTATGTGTGAAGAATTGATCTGCAATGGACGCAGGAGCACATTGTCAGGCAGGACACCGGGTCTTACACAACTTGTAGCCCAGTTTTCCTGGATCAAGAGGAAAACTGGGTCCTAGACAAGGCAGCTATTATGAATACTTACTCGCAGCATATGTATTGTAAATAATTAAATACGATAATTAAAAATGTCCCCATAACTTGTAGCACAAATAACAAACTCTGATCATGGTTTTAAAATTAATTTACCAGAGAAATGGTATTTTTCCTAGACGGAGTGTTGCTTCTTTTGATGCCTTTCTGCAACTAGTTCTGCGGTAAAACTTCTGAAAACTTCTGTATTGCTAATTTAGGAGAACTTTCAGTCTTATTGATTTTGTGTCATGGCAGAAATCCCACATTTGTTTGAATACAGTGTCGGTGCTGTGGCTTTATTTACATAATTGATAAGGTAATGATGATTGCAGTGGTGTCTACAAAATTGTGTTATTTATGCTACTGTGTTGTGTCCGCGGTGACCCTTGTACAGCATGTGAATGGGTCATTATTTATGATGTATTTTCTTTGCTTCCTTCAGTCTGCTGCCAGACGTGCAGGCACCTGCTGTGCAAACTGCCAGACCACCACCACCACCCTGTGGAGGCGCAACGGGAACGGAGACCCGGTGTGTAACGCCTGCGGCCTTTACTTTAAACTGCACAATGTAAGTAGCTTTGAAAAAAAAAAGCCCTGCACCCGAGTGTAAGGTTTGGGGTGAAAGGAGGAGGGGAGGGGTGCCGGTCGTTTACTGGTTAAGTGGGCGGACAGCTCGTATCGATTTAGGAGCAGAGACACTGAGAGTGTGGAGGCAAAGCCTGCTCACCCTGTCGAGCAGAACCCACCGGTCGTCTTTTTTTATTAATCCATCGTTGTTTCAATGGGGGGCGTTACTCCCCAGAGAGGCTGCCGGGTGGGACTGTCATTCAGTGTAACGGCGTCAGTTACACTGATGAGGATTTGTCTGAGGCTGCTCCTTTCAGGTCCTGACTGGTCCTCATCCCCATGTATTCATATTGACCAGGACTTTCTGTTAGGTTTAGACAATTAGACAAAAGCTAAAAACGCCCTGACTCGCCTTATAATGGAGCTATATATGCAAAACAGCTGCTCATTATTTATAGCATTTATATGACACTGCTGTTAATTCATAATAGCTGCCATGAAAGAAATGCATGTTAATCAGAATTGGTAGTGCAATATGTGACATATTCCTAGTGACATTTTAAATCATGAGCCAGTAAACAAGCTGGAACTAACAGTCAAACAAACATAAGCCGCTATAATGTAGTATTCACAATGTCAGTGCAGCTTTTGTCTGGCTTGCCTTGAGCTAATGTGCTGCTCTCTACAGGTCAACAGACCCCTGACCATGAAGAAAGAAGGCATCCAGACACGCAACCGCAAGATGTCCAGCAAGTCCAAGAGGAACAAACGAGCAGGGGACGGCTTTGACGAGCTGTCCAAATGCATGCAGGACAAGGCCTCTCCCTTTGGCGGTGCCCCCGGCCTCACCAGCCACATGACCCACATGGGTCACCTGCCCCCATTCAGCCACTCGGGACACATGCTGCCTACTCCCACGCCCATTCACCCTTCATTCGGTCATCCTCACCACTCCAATCGCTCGCCAGTCTGGGCTGAGCCTCACTGAGGTTCCTCCAGACCCAGTAACCCTTCGCCTGTAGGAGCCACCACATTGCCATAAACACTAAATGGCCTCCACATCACGTCGTAAGCTGAGCAGACTTGTGTCATGTACAGTGGTTGGAGGGGAGAGACTTTCAGTTGGACTTAATCACTGAAGGTCGCATCACGCCTGACCTCGCTGATGGGACGCTGCGGAGAGCAGGACTTTAGTGGACTCTCTGAAGAGCTAATGTGACGAGGGGTTTGTTAGTCCCCATGTGACTGGGGCTAGCAGGAACGGAGTGAATGGAGATGCTTGTCATTCTTTTTGCTTATTTTTACTAAGTCACTTTGGTACCCACCTCTCCTTGACCCTGTAACAGGAGACTCATGAGAGGTCTTAAAAAGAACCGCTGTTTTCACCTCATCTCACTATATACTGAGATACATGCACCCTGTCCATCCCCAGCCTGTCGTCCACAACTGCTACGGACAGACAGACAGACTCCTCAGTGCTGGACGTCTTCAGACTGGCCGAACACAGCTGCAGAACCAGTGCACCTCTGTTACAAACCGGTCAACCCACAGTTCCCACAAACCAGTGCTCTCCTCACATGCTGGATTGTGCACCACCACAATGCTCACCTGTTTTTGATAACGGAGTTTTATGGAAAAAAAAAACAAAAAAAAAACACAGTAAATAGAGTGTTTATAAATGCTTAATTGCTATTATTGTTGTTATATTTGATGTTATAATTATTGCTACGATAATTTATTTTCACTCTAAGCTTTCGTCAAACACACATGGAAACGTATGATTTTAATTTCATGGTTATTACGTAAAGAAAACACTGACCTGTCTTAGATGAAAAGTCCCTGAGCTGTACGTTTTTATCATTTTTCCATCTCACAAAGAAAAGGAAATAAAGTTTAATACTGAAGTAAGGTCTGTCTCTATCATTCTTACATACGTAGTCTTGTATAGTTTTTATTTATTAAATTACAGAGTGCAGTCAACGAAAAAACAAAAAAGACTTTACGTGACCACCCCTTGGTTCTAAAACTGTACACTTGAGCGCAGAATAGAATAGAATAGAATAAAACTTTATCGATCCCTTCGGTGCAAACCTCAGGGAAATTGTTAAGTGTTTCAACGGCGTTCTTTTTATCGCTAGTGATGGTTTTTTACGATTGTGGTTGTGTTTGGGGATCATAAGCCTCTGTGTTGGTTCTGTGTGATTGTTATCAATCTAAACATTGAAACTGTTTGAAATCTTTGTATAGTATTAGCCTGAACTCCCATTTTTATGAGGAGTGCTTGATTATTAAAATCACAAGTGATATCAGATGTATCAAGGGAAGCTCTGTGATCCCTTAAGCGTGGTAATGCTTTGGTCAGGCTCCTCCTCTATCTCTGATGGCACGTTGTTAAGAGAAGGCCTCTTTGTGGAGCTAAAGCCTCAGGCTGGACCATTGTACCCAGTCAGCAGGCTCCAGCGAAGGGCTCCAGAGTCACACAGAGTCATACAAATACACGTATCCACATGCTCATGCACACACAAACACAAACCCTAATTCAATCCCTCATTTAACTAAATAATCCATGCAACCTTTTCGTTTCATTCTAAATGAGTTTGCATGTAAAAAAATATTGAGTCATGAGTGCAGTTCAGTGGAAGCCGGTGTCACTGTCGGAGTAGCCCCGTCTCTCCCTCTCTCCCTCTCTCTCTCTCTTTTTTGGCCACGGTGATTGGAGTGAGAGGAAGGACAGCGGGTCTTTAGTGGGAGAGAAAAGAGGAAGGAAAGGCAATCAGGCGACCTGAGCAAACACATGGGGGTCTGCTCAAACCCTCCGCACACAGATGTGCTCGCAGCTGAGGCTGCCAGGAAGCAGGCGTCGACTCCGATTCTCCCTCATCTTGTTCTCTTTTTCTTTCTCTTTGTTTATCTTTTTTCACTCACCCTTTTTCTGCTCTCCCATTTATTCTGTTTATGTTTTATTCTTCTTTTTTCGATGTTGCTCATTTTGTCTCCCCCTCCCCCATTTGGACGATTACAGTAAAATAAAGGGGCTGAAGAAACTTTGAACAGAGCCAGCCGCTAATGAGTCTGCTCAATTAGGGCCAATCTGAGGTCATCATCGCTGAGTTCAGCATGCCCTCACACACCCACAGCACAAACCATCCGATTAGACAGTCTAAGCTAAAAGTAGACTACTACCCCTCCCTGAACCCTCCACCCTGTTCACATCTGCTGGACTGCTGTGGAGGTTGATCTGCAGGGGTTTCCCAGAGGTTTGATCAGTTCACATTGGAAACAACATTCATCCTGGGACTTATATAGGTGCTGTTGTATTATCCAGTGTAGTTAGCTTATGCTACATCGTAGCAACCGCCAACACTCCCGACTGGCTGTACACACATGGATACAGGAATGGAAGACTCCATCTAAGTGTCTGTTTTCAGAGAGGGGGTGGGATCCTCTTGATCCACTTGCTGAACACCAGTGAAAATGTAACGCTTGACTGCCAGTAAGCAGTCTAGCCATCTGTGTGTAGTGCAGTGTGGTAGGAGCTGGGCCGTGTACAGGCCACGACTCCAGCGGGTTGTGCGCTGCTGCAGCCAGCGAGCCTGCTCGGCTGGGCTTGGCCGGACTCCCGGAGCCTGAGAGGGGGAGATGGAGAGAGCCAGCACTCTTCAATGAGGCCCTCCAGAGGGAAAGAGCAGCCCTCCCAAAAATAATACAGGAGTCTGCCAGGCCAGAGAGTCCCAGAGCACATACGCAGACATGAACATGCAAGTGCACATACATACAAGGCTGGTATGGAGTGTGAGCAAGCTCGTCATGCCCAGTGCAGATGCAGTGCTCCTGTTGGTAGGCAGCATTTCAAATCACAGGCCTGAAAGACATTAGGTGGCAGGGACATGACACGCACACTTGCATTTGAAGTGAATGCTCGGGTAAATGTTGTGGTATTCAGCATGTGCCACTGTGCAATTTCCAACCATTAAATTTGTACAGTTTCTGTAATGTGAGGGTTTTGTAGACTTTTTACTCACAAGGCCTCACTAAACAATCAGCTACACTGAACAAGACATCCCCTCCTAACTCACATCATGAATTATGTGACACGAAAAAGCCATAAAATAGGATGTTACTTATCTTCGCTATCAAAGTGGCATTCCATAGAGGAGATGAAGAGGAGAGATCTCAGATGCGTCGGCGGGGTGAACATGGTGGCCACCTAGATCAGAGCACCGAGAGGTTTACGACTTCAACCTGGAACTGGATGTTTCAACTCATCTCCACTCCCTACCTCCTTCTTTTTCTCCCCTCCGCTCTTCCGTTTGTACTCGCCAACCTCCTCACCACCGCCGCACATTCCCTCTCTGTGCTCCATGTAACTATCCATCTCTTCATTTTCCCCCTCTCCATCCCCCTACTACTCCCACTCTTTTCTTGTCTCCCACTCCCCCAGTGTATTTGTTTTTCCATCAAATTGAATTAGTGGAATCAAAAGGTATCCCGACCATCCCCTCGCAAAGTTGAGTTAGGGAGAGAGAGACGTAGAAGATGAAAGGAAGTGCAGTGCAGTTCAAATGCAGGTCTCTTAGTGTGTGTGTTGCAATGGGGGTTGACCTTTGCCTGGGCCTAGCTAGAAAAGCATCCCTCCTTCCTCAGACCCCTAGAAGGATATTAAGGCTTCAAGACGGGACAGTATTTAGATAATACAAACATGGGGCATGTATTGCTGTCTTTAGTTTCCATAAAGTTCCCCAAGTAGGTAGTTTATTTGTTGACCCTGAGCAAATAGTGTACTTCAACTATGCTATGATGAAGCATTAACTAAGCTCTTAAGATAATTGTAATGGTAACAAAGTCAAGCAAGTGTTTCTGCTTTGAAGAAACCTACACATGAACTTCCTCTTTTCACGGATCAAGAGAAATTCATAGAAATACCCCTGTGACAGAGCTTGACAGGAAAAAGGTGGGTATATTCAGTAAAGCACCTGCTGAAGACTATTCACGGAAACCTCCACAGACACACATCATTTGGCAATTGAACAACTCCGAACACTTCTGAAATTAATCAACCATACCACGTAGCAATGATGTGATCGGCAGAGCTCTGACAGTAATAACTGACACTGAGAGAGATGCAGAGCTGACAGCAGATAATCACTAATGACCTCTGTTGACAGGAAACAACCGCATCCTGACCTGCCAGAACACCAAATCTCACTGATGATCTCTCTATGTGTCAAAAGTTGAGTCAGAGAAAGGGTTGTGATCTTGCGTAATATTTAGCTCCTTATATTTTTTATAATATTCCAATACAGGCCCAGCAGTGAAATGCTACTAGCTTAGTTACAGCTGCATACCAAGCCTGACTGAGGACACGACTTTTCAAAGCAAGGAGGGAAAAAAAAGAAAAACAGGAACTTAGAAGTTCAAACAGGAAATACTTATGTTGTACTATTAAGACCAATTAAGACCATAGAGGTCTGACAGAGACAGTAGAAAGAGATTGATTACGAGGGGTACAAGGCTGTGCAGTATTTAAGTGTAATTAAGTGCACCTACTCCTAAAATTAGTCTACCACTGAGTTTTCCAATACATATTTGGTAATACTGTTTGGCTTATTTGTGCTGTTGAACATTTTCCCCATTGTTTATTGATGTCTCATGCATTGTTTATCTGTTATCTCTCTGCTATCCTGTTTTCTCTCCCCTTTAGCCTCAACCCAACTGGTAGCGGCAGATGACTGCTCCCCCTTAGCCTGGTTCTGCTGGAGATGTTTTTCCTGTCAAAGGTCACTTTTTCCTTCCCACTGTCGTCAAAGAGTTGCTCAAAAAAACTTTGGATTTGTCGTATTTCTCTCCATAATATAATACTGTACAGTCTTCACTTTACTATGTGAATTGTCCAGTTGTGAGTTGGTGTTATATAAATATATAAGAACTTAGAAAAATGTTCAAATCAAATCAAGTGAAAACTTGAGTTTTTCTCCAGCATTAGTAGTTTGGAGAGCCGCTCGCAGAAAAATAACAGCTTATAAATGGATCTTAAGAAGGCTCTCTGGTTCCTCAAAGCACCACCACCAATTGAGGAAGCTCCCTTTTTAGGGGACTGTACCTAATGCAGTTCTGTAACCTACGAAAGTGTCTTAATTTGTGTTGGAGTTGTTTGGTTTGAAGGCAGGTAATAGCATAAAAATAGAGCTGCAACAGTAAATAAGGCCATTACAGTTTCCTAAATCCCAACTTGTAAATATGTTGTTCTATGTGACAAACAGTCCAGAATCAAAATTAGTAAATGTGTTGTAAATGTGTGAATGGAATTTAACCTTTTTTTCTTAAAATGTAATCATTAAGTCCTATTATCAAAGTAGAACCAGAGGGGTCCACAAAGAACTATCTTGACAACAGTTCCTTAAAGAACCTTTCCTTGCTAAAGCTATTTGGAGGACCATTTATGGTGCTCTATTTTTTTTTTCCACCTTTGGAGGTACTTTAGAGATTGTTTGAAGAAATTGTCCTTTAAAGAAGCGCTCGCTAAAAGGTTCTTTGTGGAACTAAAATGATTGCTCTGTTGTATCACTGTGAAGAACCATTTTTTGGCTCCAACCAGTACCTTTGTTTTTGAGTGTTGTTTATATGAAACTAGAAAAGTGAAAAAGAGAAAGAAAACAGAAACATTCATCAGTAGCCGGGTCTTATTGCTATAGTTGTGGTTTGGGAAATAGAGCATACTAATAATGAAACAGGTTTATGAGAAGTGCATTACAGAGTTAGATGTCTGTGGTTGAAGTGTTGCACTCCCCAATGATTATCCAAACTCGAACTCGGTATTCACGTGCCTCACTCTGTTGTTGAGGAGGTTGTTGCCATGCTCATGTGTCTGAGTTTTCTGATTCACATGGTGTCTGTTGACATGAGGTTTA